GTCATTTTACTTTTCACCTGCTCTAAACCCTGCTGAAAGCCAGCTCCTCAGAGAGCTCTCTCCAGTCTGCAAACACTCCGAAGGAAATGCCCCTTGCTGAAAAAGGGGTGGTGCCGGGGGAGAATCTATCTACTGTCAAGGAAGTTTCAATTAAATATGGATGTCAATTAATTTAATTTATATTTTTCCATGAAAAATGTCGTTCCATTATACATGCCCTGGAAGGAGGCCAGGAGCCCAGGTTAATAAATTACATCTCTACTGACATTATACAGAATCACAGACTAATCAGATACTTATTAAATGCCCACTTGTGGGTGAGACCATACCTTGGAGAAATCCAGCTGAAATAAGGTCTGTTCCACAGGGCTGCCCCTGTGCTGCGATCATCTTGCACCCACCCCTCGTCTTCCTCTCCCCAGCGCTGGGCATGTCTCAGGAGACTAGCTCTACGAATGAATAACCAACATTCAATTGCCAGTGGTTATGAGTGGGCACATTTAATGAATAAGGGAATGAATGATGGGAACTGTAAATAATCTGTTCTAATTAATCAGGGAATAAGCCTATTCTGGTTAATAGGAAGCTTGCCATAATTATTCAACTATAGATTCAAATCAGCTGGTGGTGGGTAGTAATATGGGTTATGAAGCTCCAACTCTGTGTCAGGCTATGTGTGTTATTTTGGGTTCTTACAACAATGTTTCAAAGTAGGGATTATTTGCTCCCTCTTCTCTCGTTTTAGAGAGTGGGAAGCTGAGGTTCAGTGAGCTGAAATGACTTTAAAGGTGATGTGGTCAGGAGAGGAACCCTCGAACCTGTCCTTGTCTGACTCAAGACCACAGAATTCTCTCTTTTGTGCCGGCCAAGCACACCTTCACCAGAGTCCTGTACTCCTGGATGAGTGTGACCAGTGTCTCGCTGACACACTGGACAGTTCAGCTGACTCCTCAGGAGTTGACTCCACATACCCCACCCTGGAAATCCTCCTCTGCTGCAGCTTATGTGGTGTGAAACGACGTCACTCAGTTGCATTGTGTTCCCAACCAGTCCCAGAGAGAGGTACAGAAAGGAAGGCAGTGAGCTGGGGGTGAGCATGTCCCTTTGGTTGTAGTTGTCCTTCCCTTGTGGCTGGGAATGAGGGCAGAGGAAAGCCAGAGGGACTCAGAGTAGGTTCTTCAATCCAGCAGCCTTGGCATTCCCTCGTTAACTGGGAACTCATTAGCAACATGAATCTCAGGCCCCACCACAGATTGTATGCATCAAAATCTGTTTTAACAAAATCCCTAGGTGATTCAGAACACACTGATCTAAGAGCTATGTCTGTCTGTCTGTCTGTCTGTCCCTCCTTCTGTCCCTCTGTCCATTCATCCCTCTTCCCTCTCTGTCTCTGTCTCTCTCTCTGTCTCGGCCTCTGTCTGTCTCTTTGGGATTGAATCCAGGGCCTTCACTCTGAGCCACACCCCCTTTTAAATTTTGAGACAAGTCCTTAAATTGTCCAGCTGGGCTCAAACTTGAGATCTTCCTGTCTCAGCCTCCCAGAGTACTGGGATTACAGGTGTGCACCACTCCATTCAGCTAACACCTCCTTTCTATAAATGAAGAGAATGAGGCCAGCCAATGCATAGGAGAGGAGGAGGGATCTGACTTGGACTAGGCTCCCAGGGCCTGAGAATATACTCCCATACTTCTGGGCACCTCACTGTTCTCTAGTGGTAAATAAATGCTAAAGCCAATTTAAGGAAAAGTATCTTTCAAGTAACTGAGATTAACATCAGCCTGGAATAAGAAATTTATAGTAAATAACCCAAGGAAGAGAATTCCATTAAGTCACTGGCAAAGTAATTAAAGCAAGGTTAGTGATAACAAATCATTCCAGGAAAGAAGGTGAGGAAGGGTTGAAAAACTTTTTTATTTCATTTTTGAGCCCGAAGGAGCTGAAGGGACTTCCACGGTCAAAGTGAATTATCCCTCCCGCTTTGAGGCATTCCTCTGGTCATTCCTTTCTCCCATCTTTTCTTATTTGGTTCCCAGCCCTTTCTTTCTTTCTTTCTTTCTTTCTTTCTTTCTTTCTTTCTTTCTTTCTTTCTTTCTTTCTGTACTGGGGATCAAACTCAGGACCTTGCACTTTTCCAGGGAGGTGTGGTGCCACTGAGCTACATTTCTGGATCCCCCACCCCTTTCTGATGCATCCACAGTGTCCTATTTTTCTTCTCCACATTTCCTTTACTCAAATCATTCAGTATGCTCTAAAGAATATAAAACAGAGAGAAATGAACACAAGTTTTAAAAATATGATTCAGTGCTTGTTTTATGTGGCCATAGCACAGATTCCCATTGATTTTCATAAAACATATGGGACTTCGGGTGTAGTTCAGTGGCAGGTGTCCTACTTAGCATAGGTGAGGCCCTGGTTCAGTCCTCAGTTCACCACCAAAAATTATGTTACTTTTATTTGTATATAAAATAGAATTGCTTTCCTTTATTCAGATTCCTTTTACCCAGCACAGTGACCGACATGTTGCCAGTTGCCGTTTTCAACAATCCTATCTTCTCATTTCCATAATACCCCTTTTTCTCTTTCCTGCTTTCCTCCTTCTCTTTTTCTCCCCACCCCCCACCTTTCTGGTGTTTATTAAAGCAAATCTCAGACATCATATCATTTAACTCATTTCCTACAGAATTTCTTGGAGGCAGGGCCATAAGGAGTTAAGCTGGACAAATAGTCTCTTATGATTGTGTTCCTCATGGAAATATGGATTTGTATTCCTGAGATAAAGAAGAACATAACATTTCTAAAACCTCTGCAAAATATCCCAGATACTATAGCTTCATGTTCTATCTCCATTCCTCTCCCTAGGGTCTTTGTGTGTGTGTGGGGGATCTCTGAGGACTTTTAAATTCCTTTACTATTAAAATAGTAAAGAATAACAAAATCTTCAGATGTTTATAAATTGTAGAAAGGTGCACATTCTCTTACTGTTGGCAAAGAATAGTCTTAGAGCATGACTTCTGAAATGAAGAACTGTCAATGTATAGTTGGAGATATTCTAGAACCAGAAACTAAACATATATTTCTCCCTATGTCAACTCCTTGAGCTGATTATTTGTGATGGTTTTAAATGCACTTTGGATCAGGAAGTAGATATGAAAACATGATGCATGGTTGTTTCAGTGTTCACACATGTCAGATCTATGGAGTGTCAAATAATTGAGGCTTGGTTATTTTTGTTAATAAATATCCAACTAAATGTAGGTGCACTGCCCTCTAAATAAGTCAAGTAGTCTGGGCTTTGAATGAGGAAATTAATTATAGCTGGTGTCCTAAGGAAAGGAATCCCACTGTGGCATGGAGAATGTAATTAATGGGAGGTGAGTGCCAACAAATCACTCCTTAAAATATTAATGCTATCAAAGAACAGCTGGATAATGAGAGAAACCCTACCCTAGGGAGGTTAGCTAAGTTTGCTTTTGGTGCTGTACAACTTTATGTAGTTGTGATGTAATGAAATTCCTCTAAATTTTAAGAAAAGTAATTTTAAGAGGTGTGGTTCTGGGAAAGTTATTAGCGGTGAACATTTCTTTGAGTTTTATCATCTTATTATGTTCATTATACCTTATTTTTGCTGTGGTCCTAAATGACTTTTCCCCTTACTTGGTCAGGTTATATTAACAATCCAAACAACATTTCTTACAAAACAAGTAGACTTTTTAAAAAGCAACCTTTAAGCCTGACAAGAATTTTTTTTTTGTAAATAAAACCCCAGTATCCAAGAAACTTCTGCAAAACAATTTCTCATACGCTCGAATTAAGTCAAGAAAAACTGTCCCATCATTTGTTTGCCTAAACTTAAATTTGGTTTCACTTGATAGCTTCTTAGCTTACTATTGTTCCCCAAATATCTGTTTTTAAAGAGAGCAATAAAGTTAAATATTTACATAGTTGTACTCAGCACGCGGAACGTTGCACATTTATTTTTAGTCTTATAACTAAATGATAACCTCAACATTTAAGGTTAGAAGTCAGAAGTAATTCTTTACCTAGATTATCCCTTAATTTTTACGTTAAAAGATCGTCTTACTCTTAGTTAAACAAGAACCCCTCTCTGGCAGGAGCGCGCACGGTCGGGTCGGGTAGCCGCGGTGGCGATAGAAACTTCTGACTGCCCACTCGTCCGCCCGGTGCCGGTACACTTTTGTCCTTTTGTTTTACTCTCCTTGCTAACGTCTAAATCAGTGACACGGGTATTCGGTGTGTTTGACAAATAGGTTGAAATGCGATGACCATATTCACGCACGCCAATAAACGAAGAGAGGAAGTGCGGGATGCAGTACAAATAAATGCTTGACGTTAGCCCAGGTTTCACGTAGCACAGGGTTCACGAGGTTTTCACGTTCGCCGCCGGAGGACCAGTGCCCCGAGAACGGCACACGGGGGACCCATCGTTTAAATAAATGTGTTTCTTTGCCCGAATAGAAGTTCAGATCTGCTCAATTATCATCAATTTTGCTCCTTTATTTCCTCTGCGGGCGCGCACAGAGAATTCTGCTCTTGGAGGTTTTGAGAGCTGCCCTCCGCTGAGCAAGGTGATCGGCGATTCTACACCCGGTGGCGCCCGGCGCAGGGGGAGGGAAGGAGCGAGAGACTGTGTGCACATTTGGGAAAAACTGCAAAGGTTGGCGATCCCTAAAAATTACCTTGTCGGTACTGAACCCTTAGAATCGCGCCCTAGGTACGAATCTGGGTCTGGGCGATGAAAGACGGATGACAAACTTCAGTCACCCTACTCAAGTTTTAAAAATTAAATCCATACAAAGTAAAAGCGTCTCCAACTCGCCGGGCTAGGTGCGTCGACAGACTGAAGAGTCAGGCGCTCCTTTGCCCCTTTCTGCTCGGCCTTCTGGGCTGCGCCGGAACCCGGGTGCAGGGGGCGGGGGCTGACCCGCTCAGGTTTAGAGTCAAGGCCGGGGGGGGAGCGCGAAGGGTGGGGTGGCCGGGGAGGTGGCGCGCGAACCACAGCGCGCAGAGGACGCGCAGCCCGCACCGGGCCCGCCGTGATTAGCTCCAGCGGCGCGACCCGAGAGGGCGGACTCTTTCTTCACCCCTGTGGTCTCCTCCTCCCTCTGCCTTTTTAAAGGACGCTGGCAGGCAGAACTGTCAGCAACCTAGAGGCTGTTTGTACTTGGCTGCTGCGAGGGTGTCTCCAGCTCTAGTGACAGACAGGGGTGGGGGACCTGCACGTGGGGAACCACTTCTCGGTCCTTTGGGCTCCGCTCCGGACCCGGCGACAGCCACAAGTCAGGACGCTGCGCCGCCCTGGAGGTGGCGGCCCGGGGCGCGATGGCTCCCGTGAGGCGTGGGGAGGGAGGTGGCCGGGGACTTGGCGCTCCGCTTGCGCCAGGAGCTCAATGAGCCCGGCAAAGGGCAGCAGCAGCATTCCTACAACAGGGCTCCTTCGGCGGGCTCCCGCCACTCGCCCCCTAGCACCATGCTGACCTCTGGCCTGCAGAGCCCGCGGCGCAGCCCCTGCTGCCTCTCCGGCCCCTGCTAACCCTCGCCGAAGCGGGCGCTGCGCCCCGAGGAAGGCGGAACCGTGGTACACCCCGAGCGCCCCAGCTGCGCAACCCTCCCGGAGCCCCAGCTGAGAGTCCCTTCCGGCCGCCCAGGGCGCGCCGCGGCGATGGGGAGGCTGCTGGCTCTCTGTCTCCTCCTGGGCTGGCTGCGCTGGGACCCAACGGTCGCCCAGCAGCCCGGGGAGTACTGCCACGGCTGGGTGGACGTGCAAGGCAACTACCATGAGGGTTTCCAGTGCCCAGAGGACTTCGATACGCTGGACGCCACCATCTGCTGCGGGTCCTGCGCGCTCCGCTACTGCTGCGCTGCGGCCGACGCCAGGCTGGAGCAGGGAGGCTGCACCAACGACCGTGGCGAGCTGGAGCACCCCGGCATCACCTCGCGTAAGTGCAGGGCCTTGGGGTCCAAACCCTCTCGCCAGGCCTCACTGGGCCTGTGCGCAAAGTGGCCGCAGCTGGGTAGGGGATCGAGGGAGGATGGGCGGTCGCGTTTCGGGTCTGGGGCCCCATTCCTTTGCAGTCTGGCTCCCTGCTACACGCGGTCACCACGGGTCTGTCGAAAGCGAGGTTTGCAGGGAAAAGCGAAGACAGCGGGGCTTGCACCTGGTGGCTCTGGGGGAAAGAGTTGGAGCTCTCGAGAGAAAGGCCGTCTGGGCAGCGCCATCCTAGGCTTGGGATTTTTAGGGGTGGCCCGGGCGCCTCTTTGCGCTCCCCGTCACTTCAGGAGCATCGGAAAGTGCTGTTGGGGAAGGAACTTGACTCCTGTCAAGCGGTCATTTGTAGCCCCACTGGGTCGCAGAACTTGAGCCGAGTCTATCTCTCGGTCTCTGCCTATCTTTCTGCGTCTCCCTCAGTCCCCCCCCCCGCCCCCGTGGCATTTCTAAGCCCTGTCCTGTTCTCCCGATTTCCTTTCATTTCTCTGCATCAAATTACTCTCTCTGGCCCACCCCCTATTGTCACGCCTTTCAGAAATACCAGGGTCTGTGAGGTGGAGATTTAGAAACTAGGGTCACAGGGGCTTCCCCGCCCCCCTATTCTCACATCGGAAAACATGGGTCAAATTTCCGCTTCCTTCAGAGCTGAATAAATCACGACCCCAGCAGAGGAAATTTACACCTTGAAAAAAAGTTTTCCACCTGATTCTGAACATCAGGGAAACCTTTTAGAGCTGGAGAGGCAGGTTTTACGGCCGGGAAACCAGAGAAGCAGGCTGAGCTGAGAACCAGTGACTCCCCAGGACTCTGAGGGCCGCAGCCGGCAAGGGAGGGCCCTGGAAAGGCTGGAGAGATCGTTAATGTTGGTCGAAGCCCCTTTGCCTCAGACTATAACCCAGAGAAAGGGACATCTGTGCTTCTTTAGCACCCCATTAGACTCTCTTGGGATTTAATTTTGGGGTTCAAAATGTCCAGTCTAGAAGACTGGGAAGCAATTCCTGGAGAAACGAGTGCGTGGAAAATAGGGAACCCTAGGCTATCCTGGGTCTGTTTGGAAAAACAGACTCTTCCCCTATGGCTTCCCTCCTCTCCCCTGAGAACTGGGCTCCTCTCAGCACTGAAAGCTAATTGCCCAGTCTGCAGCACAGCTTTTTGGCTTCTCTGGTGCCAGAGAATAGCAAGCTAGAGGAGCAGTCCGTTTCCCAAATCCCAAAGTCTGGGAGCAGGCAGACCCGGGACAGGGGCTCTGTCAATTGCCAGCAGTGTACCCTTGGGCAAGTTACTTAGCTGCTCTGGACTGCTTCTCAATTTTAAAATGGGCATACTGCTCTCAACGTAGTTGGTTTCTAGATTAAACGAGTGTATGAGGCTTAGCACAGTGCCCAGTGGGTTCAGGTTGCCTTCCACACTGGTGCTATTTACATGGGACAATAGGTGGGACAATGAAGAGCTCACACCTAGAAGCACACAGTTGGTGAGAGTTACCTGTCACTCACTGGCTGTGTATCTGTGGAAGTAAAAAACTGGTAGATTTCTACATCCAGAAGAGAGAGCTTCCTCATGACTCATGGATACTCATGACTCAAGGAAAAGCCAGCATGTAGTAGGGCGGTAGCCAATGCAGATTTTCTGTCTTCTACCTCTAAGCTGCAGGCTGCAATGCAGCATGGTTCTATCAGACAAGGGAGAGACATGGAGAAATTCCCCAGCTGCCTCTGGGGTGGGAGATTTTGTACAGTACCTGCCTTGTGGAGAGAGAAGGAAATGAGTTTGTTCTGAGAGATGCTCTTATATAAAGTCTGGGCTGCCAACACCAAGAACCACATGGTGGCCCATCTCAAGTTCAGCCTGACTTTCCTAGACCTTGGGTGGGAATGGAGACAGTGGCGTGGCTGCTGGAGTAGGCATCCTAAATTATTTCTGCAAAGCAGCAGCCACAGTGACAAGGGTAGGAGACATGGTAGAGGTGGGGCCCACTCTAGATTTCTTTACATTGGTCTTGCTGGAGTTTCATAAAGCCCTGGGGATCTCATTTAACCAGCACTATTCTCTTTGCTTAGATTGGAGATACTTGAGCAGGATTGTCAGTCTAAGCGACGGGTCAAAGCCCTAAGTGCCTTGCCGTGATAAAACTAAAACCTGGATTTAAACCCAGAGTTAGAGTAACTCATGCTTTCCCTATAGTGCATGAACAGGAGGGTGGATTCTGGTTTTCTCTGACTTCCAGATGTGCAACATGATGGCTAATTGCTAACAGAGGGTACAGTATCAGTTTGCTTCCTCCCTGCGAGGAGTAGCAAAAACATTCCTGCATCATACTTTGCACTTGGGAGGTTACCAATAACAAGCTTTGAAAAGCTAAAGCTGACAACAGTGCTAATACTGTGCTTCTCATTCCTCACCCCCTAAACCACCCAAGCAAAACTCAAAGTTTGGGAGACCTTTACCTGAGCATGTGTGTGTGTTCTGTTCTTGCTTTTTAGAGCCTGTCTACGTCCCCTTCCTGATCGTCGGCTCCATCTTCATTGCATTCATCATATTGGGCTCCTTAGTGGCCATTTATTGTTGCACCTGTTTGAGACCCAAGGAGCCCTCCCAGCAGCCAATCCGCTTCTCACTCCGCAGCTATCAGACGGAGACCTTGCCTATGATCTTGACCTCCACGAGCCTCAGGGCACCTTCCCGGCAGTCCAGCACAGCCACCAGCTCCAGCTCCACAGGTGGTTCCATCCGCAGGTTCTCTTTTGCCAGGGCCGAGCCAGGCTGTCTGGTACCCTCACCACCCCCACCTTACACCACGAGCCACCCAATCCACTTGACCCAACCATCAGGTTTCCTTGTGTCACCCCAGTATTTTGCTTATCCTCTCCAGCAGGAGCCCCCGCTACCTGGGAAGAGCTGTCCAGACTTCAGTTCCAGTTGACAGTACATGGCCACGAAGCCACTGTGTAGTCAGTGGCAGACAGATGGAGCACTGTTGCTGTTGCCACACCGAGATTTCCCTTGCAAGTGCTTATCATCGTGGAAAAAAGCTAGGAAGATACAGTGCCTTCTAGTCTTAAGGTTCTTAGCTCCAGTCAGAAGGTTTGGCTTTGCAAATATGGTGACCATTCCATTTCAGTTTATGCCACTTGGATGTAAAATGCACAAGAGTTTGACTTTAAAGTTGCAGACTGGCTGAAAACTCAGCTAGCTATACTGCCTAGAAGAGGGATACATGTTGCTTTTTATGTGTTTATCGAGTTAGAACCCAAATATATAATAAATAAGAAAAGAAATACCTAATTGTAATTATGAAAGGTTCACTTAAAAATTAACTACTAAGTAAACTTGAGGGGTCAAGGAACCACCTATTTATAACTTTGGGAATAACCTAGCCATAAATAACATTAGCATGATGAGAACATTTACTTTTTAAATTAATAACTAGATTTTGTTTAAAATATAAGAGTTTTGTCATAATACAAGGTTTCAGTAACCACATGGGTTTAAAGTTTTAAATATATACTTAGACATTCATTATAACACAGGTTCTATGTGAAATCACTTTTCCAATACACCAGAGGGCATATTTATTGGAGACTTTTTGTTCAACAACATTTAGTCTTTAAATGAGAGTTGGACAGTTGGGTCTTAAAACATTTATTTGTAAAATGAGTTATGTATAAATGTAAAGAACTGTAATTTAATGTATTTACCACATTGATGATACTAATTATTTACTAGTCACACTGATTTTTATGTTAATAACTGTGGAATTTAAAGTGTAGCTATTGGTGTAATCATCTAATACTACATGTCTCAAATGCCACTGAATTCCATGTCTAATGACTACATATTTGGGCATATATCCTGCTGGGTTAGAATAAATAAAATTCATTTTCAAGGATTCTATTTGAAAATTTAAATCAAAGTAATTAATTTTATCCCCTTAGTGATAAATCTTTGCTATTCAATAAAAGGAAATGTCTTTACTTAACACATACTTTGAAGGTAAAAGAAATATTCTCTTCACTGGGATTTGGGAAAGCAGCAAAGGAAGTAAATTGTTATAGAGATTTCAGACCATGGGCTTCATGCAGGTCTCAGGTGTGTCATTTGGCTTGTAGAGTTTCAGCATCTGGACATTTCACAGAAGAACCTGGAATTCTGGCTCCTAGTGACATATAGAACATTTGGTACTGTGAATCCTACTCTGCCACAAGGTTAGGCCAACCCTCTTTGATAGGACACCTGCCATTTGCCAGCCTCCTGCAGGTCCCCCTGCCTAGCCCATCTCGTTATATTTCCTAGCCCAGATATGATTTGGGAGTCCAGTTCATGTGAATTCACTTTTGCCATGTCACTCTCAATAGTCCTTTTCAAAGCTAGTCAGAAGTAGAACTCTCACCTACGAGAGTTGATTAGCCCTACCTCTTTGCCTTCTGATTGGGGACACCAGTTCAAAGACATTTTGCCTTTGCCTAGTCTAAAGGCAGAGGAATAATGAGTTTTAGTTTCCCGCTTTCTTCCATGTCTAAAAACGGCTTGACTTCTACATATCTCAAGATTTTAAAAAATAAACAGCTGAATGTAAGAGGTTAAATGTTTGTGAGCACGTTCTGGGACATACTCAAATCATTTAGACTGTTTTTCTTTTTCACTGGCTGTATACTGCTCCTTCTGTAGTTTTAAGTTAACCTTTACTGAGCTCTTTTTATGAGCCAACCACCCTGCTAAGGACTTACACGTGTTAACTCACTCCATGTTCCAAACATCATCAGGGAGGCAGTGTGATTCCTACTCCACAGATTTGGTAACGGAGGCACAGAGGAATGCAGTTACTTGTTCACAGAGCACAGCTGGTCGCTGCTGGCACTGGTATATACAAGCATATTCCAACATCAGAGAAGCACCTGCTTTGAGATTTTGATGCCTCTGGTAAAAAAACCCCACTGGAGATTTTAAAAGCACAAGGCCCACTCTAAAGAGGGTGATGATTCTCAGCTCTGTTGTACTCAGTGAGCTTTCTTTAGAACAAATGTTTTGTGACAACTCTTTATCCAAAAATGAAACTTATAGCTAATATAACTCATGATATCCAATTACAAAAAAATCAGTGCAATATCCTAATGGTAAACAGAAAGGAAAAAGAAAAAGAAGGTAACATTACAAAGAGTAACGGTGTGGGCAGACTTAACACAGGGCTCAGACGCTAAACCCTGTGACATTTCCAATTCCACACTAATACAGTTGCATTGCTGCTGTTGATGTGAATTTTGAAAAAAAAAAGAGGAAAGTTTGGTTTTCTTTTGCACCATGGTTGTATATCTAGAAAATTTAAGGTGAACTAAGACAGTGAAAAACATAATTTATAGGTAAAATGGGATAGGGTTTTCAACTGAGAGGGATGGTGGGACAATCGAAGCCATGTGGACGGACAGTAAATCTTTATTGTATAGACTGTCCCAAGCCTTGTAGGGTCTGTTACCACCGAGTTCCTCACAATGAATGGCCTCCTCTGCTAAACACCAAGATGCCCTTATGCAATTCCATAGTGTCCTCTAGAGGGTGTAGCCCCTATCCTCTAAAGAACAATTTTTTTTTTGTATATCCTTTTCTTGGTACATTTTAGGTGTACAATATAATGACATTCATCATTGGAGATAGGCACCTTTACATACTCTCTTAGTTATTTTTTCCCTCTTCCCCTGCCCTCCCTTCAACCTCTCCATCCCTCCCTATTTACAAATACTTTGTTTTCTTTTTTTCACTTTCTCATATTAATTCCATTCCCTTCTTTCCTTTCTCCTCCCCCTTCCCCTTTAGACCTTTTCTTCCTATTTCACATCATCTATTATACCTTTTAGTCCTTATTTTCAGTTTCAGTTTCTCACACTAGAGAAACTATTCGGTATTTACACATGTGTGTCCTATTTATTTCACTTAAGAGTATCACCTCAATGTGCATCCATTTAGCAATAAATGTCTCTAATTTGTTTTTGATGGCTGAGTAGTACTCCATTTTGTAAAAAAACACATTTTCTTGATCCAGTCTCCAGTTGATGGGCATTTGGGCTGTTTTCAAGTTTTAGCTATGACAAACTGTGCTGCTATGAACATGGGTGCACATATATCACTGTGGTATGATTCTTTTAATTCTTTGGGGAAGATCTCCAGCAGTGGAATAGCAGGGTCAAATGGGACTTCCAGTCCTAGTTGCCCAAAGAACAATTTTATTTGCCTTTCCTTTGAAGAACAATTTATGTCCATGAGACAGACCACTGCTAAGGAATTCATAATAGAGTTCACATCTGCAAACTTCCCTGCCTTAGCAGGATGCCCCAGTTGATCAACTTAACTAGCTATAAGAATTAGGCACTTAGAGACACCTAATCAAATCATATCCCCATGTACTTGGTGATATACAGTATATATCTTTCTATATGTCTTCTCTCTAGAAGCTGAAGCTAAGTAGCTGGTAATATTAGTATTATGATCTTAGGGTACAAAAGCCATCTTGTGGCAGATTTCTAGACACTGTCCCATTCAACAAGACTTTGGGTCCCATTCCTCACCTGAGTCAGGCACTGTGAGAGAGGTTAAATAAAATGCAGTTCTGACCTAAGCCACTATCTACTATGGGTTCAGGGATGACAATACTTGGATTCAGATATTACAGAGATTGTATTACTTTATGGTTACATTATGTTCTCACATTATCTTCTTGCTGTCAGGGAGCTCACAGGCAGGTAACCCATAAACCACCACTCCCTGGCAGCATGGACAAAGAGCACTATCTTATTCTGGAGGGGCTGATATTAGACCTGAGCCTTGAAGAGATATGTGGGGTTTGAGTGAAAACTGGGTGGAGGGAGGAAAGAAGTGCTGGAAATAAGGGGAAGAGCATATTAGGCAGGATGCATCTATAAGAAGGAACATTCTGGGAGCTAGACAACTCAGAATAAGAGCGGGGGTGGGGAGAAGCAGGAGCAGAACGGAGCTCCTAAACACCACGGTGGTTGCGTATATACCAAATGGGAGCCTTAGAGGATTTTACAGGGCACAGTGACTTGATCACATCTTTGATTTAGGAAGATTAGACAGCAAGGATCAAATCAAGTCATTTGAAATTCCCAAGGAGATGCTCACCATCATCTACCACACTAACAAAATACAAAGAATTTGGGTCCTAATATCCATGAGCCATAATTATTGTGAAAATCAGAAAGACTTCTGTGTTTTAAAAGGTAGTTATGATAATAATTCGATAATATTTATTAAGCACCATGTGTGTCCTAAATGCTTTTTTTTCAGTACTGGGGATTGAACTCGGGACCTTGCACTTGTGAGACAGGCAGCAGAACCACTGAGCTAAATCCCCAGCCCTGTCCTAAGTGCTTTTTGAGTTGTATCATTTAATCTCATCTGAAGTAGGGACTATTGCCTTGTGTTTTGCAAGTAAAGAAATCAAGGCAGAGATATGAACCACTATGCCCAAGGATAAACAAACAATAATTGAATCAAGATTTGAATCTAGGAGGTCTGCTTTGCAACTCTATTTATTTAGGTCATTAGGCCTAAAAGGCCTAGTTTTCTCAGGAAAAAATAATCCAACCTACTTTTCAGAAAATATATTGGATTTTAACTTCACTAAATTTATTTTTTCCTTTGTAAAGTGGCGACATTAATAGTACCTTATTTGCTTAGGTTCTTTCTTCTTTTTTTGGTACGAGGGATAGAACTCCGGCCCTCGAAGTCCCCCTTTCTAGGCAATTGGAGGATTGACCACTCTCCAATAAGGGTAGATACCATGTTGATTAGGGGACAGAAACAGAGAAAATGGCCCTACAGTTTGAGAGAGTTAGTCTTTGATAACCTTTGGCTCCCCTTTGGCCAACTTCCTGTGATTGCCTGGGGTGGGGCCCCTCCCACTACGTTGGTCAGTGTTAGTCAGCTTTCTTTCATTGTAACAAAAACCCAGGGATAGAATTTAACAAAGAGAAAAGATTTCAGCTTACAGTTTTGGAGGTTCTGGGCCATGACTAGCTGCCCTACTGGTTTCGGTCCACGGTGAGGCAGCACATCATGGCAGGGGAATGTGACACAGAAAATCTGTGATGCAGGCGGAGGAACCACTGAGCTAAATCCTGGCCCAAATTTCTGTTCACTTTTGCATAATCTAGAAAGTTTATTTAGCACATGTTCAGGAAAAATAAGAATTTATAGGTATGTTAAGCTACTAAGGGAACAAATTATTAACATATTTTTATATGCACATGGCTATTTTAAAATTGCTATTAAATGTTATTAATGAAATTATTCTGGCAGGGAACTTTTCAGTTGCTAGGATAGTTTTTATGTACTTGAAAGTAATAAAGGCTAAATGTTTAAAAAAGGGTTCCATATTTTCCAACAATTTTTATTAGCCTATTTGAGAAATTACCCAGGTTGGGAAGACCTTTATTCATTAAAGTGAGGTTGATTGTACATTGCTGGAATGGAGAGGTCATAATCATAAAAATTTAAATGGGGATGATGTCCTGAATTTATGGGAGTGTATTTCAAATTTGCTGTTTCCTTATGGTAGTAATGGAAGACATCTTAAACGAATAGGTCAGTATAAACAGTGCTTGTTTTAAGTGGAATGGCACTGAATGTGAAAATTATATGCCACAATTCATAGGTAATTTCTGTATAAATTGTTTTGCTATGGTTTTACATGGAGATGCATACCCAATTGTCCCTGGAAAGATTGTGGGAGAGGCGAGGGGACTCCCGACAATTAAACACATGTGGCTTCAATCTAATAAAATCAGAGGCTCCTCAAATTGTTCCTCCAGCACTGGTGAACTAATCCTATTCTAGCAATTTAGCAAACTGAAATTTCATTGGCTTGGCTTTTACCAAAGGATGCTCTTTTCGATAAAACCATTTTTCTCACTTCTGGTATTTCCCTGTACTTTTGTATCATAAGTTCGATTTTATTATTTTCTGATTACTTCC